CTTAAATTAGCTGGGGTTGTTCATGCGTTTGCTTTTGCTTTTTTCATAAGACTTGGGTACTAGAACCGGGAAAATGTGACTACTTTTGCGTACAGCTGTTCATTGTGTGCTATAAACGTGCTGGTGTCCTGCCTAAATGAAAATTTCAATAATAGCCACTTAAAAAGTCCTATTATAATCTGACCTCTGTCTTCCGGAAGGCGACTGTATCGTCTTATCAGTTTGCAGTCTTTCAAGCCATGACGTATATCGTGTCGTCATAATTTAACAGCTCGTCAGAGTTAATATGTGAGGCCGTTAATATTGAATCTGCTTCGCTAACTCTCCCCTTTCTCATTTGACCCTTCCTACGTTGCCGTTGAACCGAATATGTGCGAAGCACAATAAGAGGCAAATACTCTCTAAACATTCTATGTTGATCCTATTACCACGATTAGTATTGAAATTATTAGTGGACGTAAGATCATTCTTATCATTTAATTCTTTTTATAATTGCTACTGCCAATATCTTCAGTAGGCGTATTTTTTGATCGTAAAATAACGGCTTTACCCTAAACTAACAGTGCCTGCTATAGGTCGCTTGCCGCGCGCCCATGCGATCTCCATCCTCCGAAAAACAGGGTGTTTATGCCCTACTGTATCCAATGTCGTTATTTTGGCCTTTGGACGGTTAGTTGTTGCAGTCAGTCGCACTCAAGTGCCCTCATCTGCACGCCCTCGGACCGAACAATATATTCAAGAGCTGAGTTAAAAAGTTGATCACTTCGCTTCTTCGGAGCATCGGCTCTTGCAGAGCTCCTATTGTCTCGTCTTGGTTACCACTGATCCTTAAAGTTAGCGGTTTTTTCAAGATCCGTAACAGTTAGTTTATCATTGTTGGCCAAAGCGCTTTTGTGTCCTCTACAGTTATGTTTACGAATTTGTGGAGACCGCACAACAGAACGCGTGTTCTTATGACGTAAGTGCCAGCATTTCGGTTCGGTGGAAGACTGGCAGCCATCTCACTATTAACTAACTGGATTGTTTAGCTAAAGTTCCAGTCTTAGCTATACTACCTTTTATGGCCTAGTATTTTCTGTTCGGCACATGGCTGAGTATGCGTCATTTATAGGCGCTTGTGTTAAATTGAAGGCTAATTACACGTAAATTTAACCGAAATTCAGACTAGCGAAGACCCCCAACTGACCATTATTCACATATCCTCTTCTTGTGGCTTCTGTTCCAGGTGACTGGGTGTTCTTTGACTAAAACTGCAATTTTCCGTGTTATGTAAAGGTGAAATTTGTCCCCGAGACCAATGAAACTCAGATTGTTACAGGAGCACGAGATTCGATGGTGAGACTGGCAATTATGCATGAGGATGGGTCAACAGCGACAACAACTCGATGCCTGACCAAACACGACGGTCCCTGCCACAAAGTTTCCTTTGTTGCCGATGAGCCATCAGTATTTTTATCCGCCGGGGAGGATGGATGCGTATTTTCGATTGATCTTCGTGAAACAAAAGCCCAAAAGTAAATTTCCTTACTTCTTGCTTGCTTCGTGCCCCTTAATTTTCGACAGGTATTTTTATCTAATCCCTTAAATAGAACACCTTTTTCTCTTCCACACGCTCCAATGCCTTATTTTGAATGTTGTCCTATACGTTCGAATCGTTGCCTTTTACTTAATTTTGCCACTGAAGACAGCTGGAAATGCTGTGCACAAATTGTGTGCCATGTGTCGTTTCTTCCAGCCATTGTCATATGGGGAGAC